AAAGGATTGAAATGAGACAGACAGACATTCCTGTTTCATTGGGAACAGTTGCCACAGTTTAAATGCATTTCAGGTAGAAATTCTGGGCTGATTTCTGAATGCAACGTTTCCATTTGTACTTCATCTTAGGTTAGTTAAGGTCGGAGGCTTGGTAGTTGGACTACAAACTTGATGTAAGTAATTCTTAGCCACTAGATAGGAAAAGTTCCTGCTGATTAACAACCTGCAACCATGACCAGCTGGACAGAAAGGTATGGAGGGATATCACTGGTGTCACCACCTGTGGATGAACTAAACTGAACAGCTTTTTTTCGGTAGCTGAATTTTAACTGTAACTGAAAATCATTACCAGTAGCCTTGATAATTACAATTCTATCCAACAAACCACATAGAGGTGAGACTGAACTGGATAAAAGATTTCTGTCAAGTCTTACAGTAGCCTGAGTGCCACTGTGTGACTTACTCCTGGAGTGCTTGGTATCTTGCCTGAGCTGTCTCTTCATCCTCCAGGGCTTGTTAGCATCCAGGACGGGCCTGCCAGGAATGCAGGTCAAGGTCAACAGGCTTAAGATTTGATACCTCTGTCCCCAGGGCAGTTGGAGAAATACTTGGATGTTCACCTTTTAGTTTCAGAGTGCAGAGGGTAACTTGGAATTTCACACACCTGTACGATGAGCCTGTCTGCACCCAGGTATCCCCATCCAATACTGTAAACCTGTGCCCTAACCTGTGTTTTATGTGGGTCGGGACAGTTAAGATAGGCATCTGGGAGGGCATGAGGGACAATTAAAGGTAAAGCTGTCCTGGGGGGCATGTTAGGAAATGATGGGAAACAGGTGAGAGGTAGTTCTGTAGGGAAGATTCTGTAGGTCTTATGTCAGGCTTAATTAGCAGTGTGGAGGAATACTATATACCAGAAATAGATGTGCACACAGAACTTGTTTGCAGTAGCAGACTAAAATTTCACTTTTGACTATTGCATGCAGTGCACAGATGAAGGACTTTCTATGCTTCTTCAACACACACACACACTCACTTACTCACTCACTCACATATACACATACATACATATAGAAACATTTATCCTCTAAGATGAAGAAAGTTTCAGACAAAGATTTTCTGATTATCAGTTAGGTTTTGGGCTGACTCACCCATACCCTCCCCACAAACATTCAGTCAGGGCTGGACTTGATCAGATGCCAATTCTCTCAATTTGATCTGAAGGTGTTTCCTTGATGATGTCACTATCCAATATGAGAGTTGGGCTGTATGGTGACATATGGTACCGGTAAGTACCGGTTCGAGGGCAAGTAAAAGTCCAGACTCAAAAGTCAGGAATATAGTTGTGGGACAAACTAATTAGACTGTTGCCATGACAACATAACAACACATTCCACACCACTCAAAAACCTCTTTCAACCTCCCGATAGTTAGCAGCTGTTGTTTGCAAAACTTTCAGATGTAAAGAACAGCATATACATTGTAGCATTTTAAGAATGAACCTTCAACTGTTCTAGAGAAGACTACAGGACACTAGTTTGTCTCTTAACACTGATTGCATTTCTTCTTATTCTTCCCAGAAGTATCTAGAATAAAGTATAAAACAGGAAAATTGCTAGAAAAGATACTGCATGAGAAATAGAGAAATGTACATGTACCAGTATGTACAGTGTATTCCAAGCTGTCATAGACAACCAAAGCTAATGATACCCCATTTAAAAACAAAAATAAAAGGCATGTAATACAAATGTATGATTATTGAGGTTTATTGGGGTAGTGCATTATGAATCACACAAAATTCTCAGCTCTTGTTATATATTATTACATGAAATTCAATCAACTAGTGACTACGCTTTATGTTGAATTAGAGCAGTCTGATTTGGAATCACATAAAATTACATTAAAAGACACGCAGATTCTCATAAATGATCAACCTGTCGGGCCTCTCTCCCCAGTGGCATCCTCTCTGAAACAGCTGTGAGGAGCATCTTTCATGGTATAACCCTTGTTTGGACTGTACAGAGGCAAGAATCATTGCAATTAGGATTGTCGTATCCCAACAGATAGATGATATTTTCCCATGTTAGACATGACACAACGGTCGCCCCACATCTGTGGTGGATCAGCCACCACTGGAGCTAATACTGCTGACCCCAGTCCGCCCCTCTCCACCCCCCACCCACACCAGCAGCCCAACAAGACATCCAATACACACATTAGGAAAGCAAGCCCAGTTCTAACAACTGTGGGGTGATTTTGTCCATGAACTTGGCTGGTATTTTCTCCCAAGCTGCCAAAACGTCTAATGAAGACATGGAGGATGTTTTATCAACACTGGCATTTCTGGATGACAGCCGTATCACACATGTTGTCATTGCATCTTTTGCTGACTACATTGTATACAATTGTCAAAAGAAGCAATAAAACTAGTGTGATATGGCAGGATGAGATTGTTCTAGACATTGAGCTACTGGTCTTGACAATGTTCATTGCAACATGCACTAACAGCCTCATGACATATTGTACAGACATGGGCAAAGTGTGTGGTTCAGTTTCCCAGCTCAAGGAGCCACAAAATGCTGTTACACACAGCATTTTGCACAAGTCTCCCTGTTTAGGAACTTATAATAAGCATGTGTCGAAAAAAGTCACTACCGCAGTACATGAGAAACTGAGTCTGTATGTTCAATGTAAAACACTCTTTCTCTTCATCTGTCATAACACCTGACCACATTGTAGCTATAGAACACACACATGCAGGAAGTCTGTACTCTGATTTAAGCTTTAATAACAAACATGCATTAATATCAGGGCCTTCTTTTCCTGTAGTATGAGCTTATTGTCATCACTATGTTAATATTTCATGTGTTTCAAAACTGATGTAAATTTGGAGTTAAATTTTATCATCACTGCTGTTAATTATGAAATGTACAGATTTCTGAAGCCATGTCAGTTGTCATGCAATTTTTTTTGTTCATAACTGTTATCAAGTGGCTTATATTATTAGTTATAAACCATAATCATCTCATTTCTATGCAGTCTTTGGTTGAAGGAGATTTCCCAGTCCAATAGACAACATCCAAGTACCGGTACAAAGTTAGATTACGTCAAGTCAATCCTACATTGTTTCACATGGTACTGTGTGGACAGAATTCCACCTTAATCCTTCCCCACCCACCCCTTACTTAGCTCCCCACATCTTACACCAATGAAGAAAGCCCCAACAAGTGACTTAAAGAAAACATTTCCTTTCCCAGCTGCTGGATCATGGCTATTGTGAGACTTCAAGATCACCTCTGGCTTTTGTTATCTTCAGAACTTCAATATGGATTCCATCATTGCTTTGGAACCTTACGATAACATCACCGTTCCCACATAGGGAATATTGTAGTTCCTGGATTTAAACGCCATGGTTCTGATGAGGTCATCCAAGGTCAAAGTCAAGTTCAATCTGTCCATAGAGGAACATTTGTATTAATCAACACTACCCCTCAGGGTCTTGCTATACCCAATGGTCAACATGCATACCAGTGTATGTAAAGTGAAAAGCTTTCTTATGGACTGGTACATGTATATAGGATAACATATACATACATTGTATGTAAGCATGAGTGCTTCTATAAGCACTTAATCTTAATTAAGAATGCTGGTATCATGTAAACATGTTGTAAGATATCTGCATAAGAAATACTCTATGCTACCAGGAAAAGCAGACTGTCAAATACTCCTTAAAATTTGTTACTAATACATGTATCATCAAACCAACTTCCTTGGCATAGTGACCCTAGGGTATACACATGTACTGCCCATATCAAAGGAATTGGACAAATCAGTGCTGGCAGACAGTAAATGTAAAATGTCAATACATAACAATGCTGCCAAACACATAACACCTGTAGCAAGGGCTGCATCATAATTTTACATGTACATGTCAGCAGTCATAAGCAATTAGTGACAGAAAAATATAATATTCCCTCAGGGTGGTTTGCCTTGACATAGGGGCAGAGCTGTGGAAGGGGGAAATAGCAGGATAACTGTAATGAAGAAGCATCCATGTATGGATGACTAATCAGTTCGACGAGGGGTACAACATAGTGTGGAAGTGTTGTGATACATCTATGTTCTTGTTTTGTATATTATAGAGTTTAGAGGTAACACAAGCTGGCTTAAGTAACTTTGCAAATACACATGTATCAACATTTCTAACAGGATTATACAGATTCATGCCATCACAGAGATGAGTTGTGGTCCCTGCAATAGGGAGTACATTACGGTGTCTTGAACACACAGCACTGATTGTTCCCAGGAGTCTGCCCTAATGAGACAAAATGGAGATATAACTGAAGCAACTGTCTCCAGCCAGCCTCAATCAGGAAATTATTAAATCAAATGCCACGCATATATGTAAGATGAATGACTAAGAAGGCAGACTTCTGTGAGACCCTGTCAATAGTGTAATGACAGATCAGGTAGAAAAGCACTGCACATTAACTAGATTAAATTCACTGGTTTCTCATTTCTGAAATGATGGAAATGTCAGTCTCGCTCTGCTGCGATCTGCTCATAGCTAGACTTGAGTTACAAGTTCATCAGCTGGACATTGGCAGCCTTCCAAGGAATGTTGCCACCACATAGAACAGTTGCTATGACTCTATTTTGTCGACAATGGCTGTTCTGTGTTTTCCCACAATTCCAAGGTCTTGGCCTTGCCCTCTAGCTCCCCAGTGCCCACAAAGATTTCCTCTGTCCTCCAACATTCCTTATGTAAAATGGAAGTGTGCAAAATCATGCTAAGTTGAACATAATACAAGATACACTTGATGTCACCAAAGTTTTGCTTTATTCACATTGATAGCTCTTAAATCTACATGCTAAGATGTCTAGACGTAGTAAACAGATTGAAACATGTGGTCTCTATGTGCTTTCTTGACCATGTCTTGGTTACTACATTGTACATACTTCAGACTATCAGACTTGTCAACAATATAAGCAACATGTATTTGACTCAGCATAATGATCTACTGGTACATATAGGTACATGTATAAACATGTTTTCATACACCTTCTGTCAAGTCATCAAAAACCTATCTGTACATTTGCAGAAAGCCAGACCAAGTCTGCAGTGGTGCCTGCCAGCGGTTGCAGCTCACCTGGCCCAGCAGGTGTGAGTGGAGGCGTCCCGCAAGTGGCCCGGCCCTCCAGCCCGTCTGTCCCACCTGCACCTCACACCTCCATGGTCCGAGACCACGAGCCTGACGGAGAGGCCACCATCAACTTTTCCGAGCAGGACAGAGTATTAGAGACTGACCTGGACAAGCCAGAGAACTTCATTCTGAACGCCGTGGATGATTTTGAAGAGGAGAAAATGGACCTGGAGAGTGAGTGTGCCCTGACGCCTGTCTCGTCCAGACACGAGGACAGCCTGATCGAGGAGCAGATGTACAAAAAGTTTGAGCTGCAGAGGTTGGACTCTTCCTCGTCTTCCAGTGAATCACAAGCTAAGATATCACCAGTGGAAAGGCCACTAAGCCCTCTACCCCCAGAAGCCCCACCCTCCACTCCTGAGAACGGTCCCCCCACCCCCCTCCCTGGCACCGCTAGCATGACTTTACCCAGGATGAAGGAAAACCTTCACTCCTCGACAAGGAGAAAGTTATCACCAGACAAGAGTCCTACCAAAATCCCAGTTCGCAGTGTGAGCTGCTTCCCCTTGAGTCCTGCCAGACAGAAGTCAGAAAAGCAGGGCCGGAAGTCCAGTACAGAACACAAACTGTCAGAAAAGATGGAATTTTCTGTGTCAGCACCTGAAGGAATTCAGAAGAAGGCTGACAGCTCGTCCCCCAGAGGGAGTCCGGAGAAGAAGCGATGTGAAAGTTTTGCACCTCAGGGATCGCAAAACAAGCCCCCCACTCCTCCTCAGCACAGATTCCCATCATGGGTAAGTACTACTGCAGGTGATGCATCATCTGTTTGCTCTATAGAAACATGCAAAAGATCTGTTTTTTCTGTAGCTGTTGGTGACATACTATACAATAATATATTGGCCATGTGTTATTACCAGTGAATTCACATTGAATAAGATCTTTTAATCTGTGTTGAAGGCAACACTGTGTTGTGTTGAAGGCAATTCTTAGAAATAAAAGCAATGTAGGGGGTTAAGAAAACACTACTAACATTATTGCCTTGCATGCCACACTTCAAGAAAATGTTTTTCACATATGAGATATAGTCAGCCTCCTTGTGTATCTGGTAGAATACTTCCAAATTAGGGTTCCTGAAGGCAAGTTTACACTTTGAAACACATACACAGTGGACAAGATTTATATGTTTTTGGAGTGCCTGACAGACTCAACCATGAGCTCACCTCATAAAATGCCCTCATGTACCAGTGAAAGACTATCCCTCTGCTGTTAGCTGGGCAAGGTGGGAACAATCACTTTCATGTGTGTAACAAGTGCCTTTAAATAGCTACTATTCATTGGCATCAGGAAATTCTGGTGTAGAGTTTTAGTGCACTTAGTAGCAGTTACACATGGTGGTTGTGGGCCTTGAGTGCTTCAGGTCAACTAATATCTCCATATCAACTACATATGTTGAATATGTCAGACCAGATAGTTCCATCAACAGTTGTATTAAAAAAGTCACACAAAGTATCAATTCATATGGAATATTGTGGTAATTCTGTTGGACTCAGTAGCTGCTATCCCAGTTATAATCACTAGGGGGCACTTTTGCATAAGACTTTTAGTAGGTAGATAAGACAGTGACACAAGTTACCACTGTGTGGCATGAAAGTGCAGTAGAAGTTAGACAGTATTAAGCTTAATCTTTTCTAATGCCATCTGTTTTTGAAATCATGGCACTTGTGCTGAAGGGGTGAGAAAGTTTCAGTCCATAAATTCTTCTTAGCAAAGCAAATAGACCCTGACACAGGTTGAAAGTGGGAAGTTGGTATGTCCTGTTTGCTCCAGGCCTGTCCTTCAGAACTACCCTTGTTTTTTTGCACAATAATAGGAACAAATCCAGGGATTGATACTTGGTCTGGTCTGTCAACGCTCCCGGATGAAGTCTTACACCTGTGCTGTTTGCACATATAAAATTTCATCTCATAAAATATGCTGTTCAAGTAATGTAATGTGAACTAGAAAGGCCAATATTTGCTTTGGAGCAAATACAGCGATGGGTTCACCACATTTTACGACATGGCAGGGAAAGAATGAGAAACACAAGGGAAAACAATGATTTACATTGATATAACTATAATATGAAGTAACATACAACTAAAACAACAGTTGGATAGCTATTCCCTACTTTATTGGTTAGGATTTTTAATTGCATAATGCAAACTGTTGATTTTCAAAATAAAAAAAAACGTTCATGCCCCGCATTCCAATGCTGGAGCAGAAAAGCTTGAAATACCTACCAAAACACTTGAATAAAGACATACTGTCAGTATGGAAATGCTCTGTGCAGGTGTTATTAACAATCACATAAACTATGAAGCCATACATTGAATAAGCTATACATATAATATGATTATCATAACCTTTATTTTTAAAATCATGCCAGTGAGCTAATTGCATGTACAGAGTGAAAGAAAGTAAAGTAAAGCAGTAGAATTTCTGTACTAGCTATGATAGTACTTCATATGATTCGTCCTCATCGTCATCATTCAATGTGGTCTATCTCTTGCTACTAGTGACTGGTAATACCTCTGTAGATTCTTCACACTGGCAGAGTACCGTACTCCTTCTCTCTTGTCAGCTCAATACTTTTGTGACAACATCAAAGTGATTTTAGTTTGTATGTTGGAAAAATACAAAAGACTAACATTCTAAGTTATTGACATTCTTGAGTAAGAACAATCAGTTTTTGAATGTTAAAAGCAAAACAACGAAAATAAAAAAAAATGTTGAAATTGTTAAAATGCAGAATTGTTAAAATTGTTAAAACTGATAAAATTGTTAAAAATGATAAAATTGTTAAAAATGTTAAATTGCTAAAAATATTAATGTCCGATGCACTGGGGTTCGAACTTGCAATGCCTGGGATTGCCGCCTTGCGCGTTTCCAACCGAGCTAACATGTTCGTGGAGGGCTAATTAATCTCTCGTGAAATACACACCGGGACGCTTATGTGAGGCGGGCGGGCCAGAGCTCTTGCGGCCCCGACCACGAATCAGACTGGATACCAGGCTATAACAGAACCTAGATAATACTAGTTGGTAAAGATTGCGGAAAATTGTTGATACCGTGGCGCGCGCGCCGACGATACACATTACGTACCGCGTAACTTTTTTGTTTACACGCCGGGCGCAGGTCATTGACCTCCAACTTGCGTTGTTCCAACAGAGAAGAGCAAAATGTCTGGCTCCCGCAGAACGTACCGCACTCTCCCGCTGGACGTACCGCACTCTCCCGCAGAACGTATCGCACTCTCCCGGAGGACGTCCCGCACTCTCCCGAGGGAAGTCCCGCACAGCGTCCTGCACTCTCCCGCAGAACGTCCCTCGAAAATCGATGCGTATTTCGTGGCCTGTGCTGTACCTACCAAAACACTTGAGTTCATACTGTCAAAATGGAATGGCTTTGAACAGGTGTTAATTGAGTTAATCCAATCAAATCCAACAGCCAATCAGCAAGAAGAATAGATTGGTCTGCGTCAGGTTCATGCTTGCATGCCCATATATGGGCATACCGCCGAATTCCTTTCTTATTACGTCACGCGCGCGCGCCCCCACAGTACTTTCCTATGGGGACCGCTAAAAAAGCAAATAAAACGATGGTAAAAGCTTGTATCACAAAATTTAAAAAACGCCTAGGGGTATTTGCCCACTGTACCTCCATACCAAATTTCAGGACCTTAGGCCCTAAAATGAAGAAGCTGAATCCATTTAAAAAATGGCAGGAGAAGAAGGAGAAGGAGGAGAAGAAGAAACATCAGAAAAAGCAATATGGGTTCACCACCACTTCGTGGTGTGGTGAACCCATAACAAGTATGAAGGATGGATCGCACTGATATGATTCAGAGTTCACTCTGGTATGAAGTCATTAAAAGAAAACAAGGTTAGAAAATGCCCGTCAATCGTCTCCTCCATTGATACAGTACACAATCATCTCTGTACTCTGCACTTGTCTCTGCACTTTTTTAGCAGAAATTACGACCTAGCTAAGTGAAGTATTAAACATGGGTAATGAGCATTATATGGCATTGTATGATGATCAGTTAATGATTGACTGCTTTAGTTTTGTGATATGATATAAAATAGCTATGACAAAATGGTGAAGTTACATTTTACTGCATAAGCAATGTACATATACATTTTTGTAGGTGCACACCCCTTTGAAATCTCATATCCTGGGCTTTAATGGTTAATACATGCCTGTGGCCCAGGAGATGTCTGATGCCATGACTTTGCCTCACACTTCCTTCTTCTCTCCACTTCCGGCTCTGCAGGAAAACCGAATATATGACCTGGCAAAGGGAGGGATTCGGGTTTCGGAGAACCTGAACGGAATGCACAGATGTGAGTACCTTTATACCCAGGTTGACTATGGTGTATAGGTATATAAGTCGTTGTGATGTTCAGTTATATAGGAATCAGAAACCTTGGCTTGGTTGAGCGCCAAATCCCCCTCAGATTTTTCTGTGTCTATAACCACATGACACATGTACAATGTATATCTCTGAGAAAGATCTAGTACAAGGGATAGAAAAATTGATGCTTATTGCGCTTTTGTGGAGGTTCATATTTTCTGTTTTCCTCCATCAATAATTGTAATCAAAGAGCCTGAATCAAATGAAATATATGTAAAATGAAAATGCTACTGCAGCCTTATGCAGTGTTATAACCTTTAGAATAGAACGTCACAACAGGAAGCACTCCAGACATGCTAATCTGTCAGCAGGCAGTGTGGTGTGTTTGCCTTGATAAGAGGAAGGTTCTGACTTCAGGTACTTTACAGCCTTCACCTGTCAAACTATTTGTTGCTGAGGGCAGGAAGGAAACAAGTTTTTTATGAACCATGAGCCATCAGATAACACTAACATTTAAAATTGGAAGCAAGCTTAGTTTATTTTCTGTCTCATTTCTCTCTGTTCATATACAATCATAAACAATAAATTTAAGAAGGAATTGGTATTATTTTGGGTATTACTACATTATTAATATTCAGGCCAGCTGAGGCAATTCTCACATATTCTCATATGTTTATCCATAGCACAGGCTGTAGTGCTGACAGAAATTAGGATTTGACCATGGTCAATATTGACCAATGGAGCTGGAAGCCATATATGAAGCAATTTCTGTGTATGAAACATAAACAGACAAACTATATCAAGTTTGATATGATGTTTTATTGTTTTTCACTTCATGCTACCGTATTTCACTTCATAATATAAAACTAGATAACTCTATGCCCAACATAACAACAAATGTCCGTCAAGCCCTGTCTTTATCAGCTCTGTCCAAACATGCTACAAATTTAAAAGACTGCCCATCCTTCTGAAGCATGTGATATCTGAGAGGCCAGAGCATGTTACATCCTTCCCTGTCTTGTGAAGTTTGCTTCATTAGAATTATGATATCATGCGGGAAGGAATGAGAGTTGGTTTTGCCACAGCCATAGATTCAGGACAAGCACAGGACTTTTAGCAGGTTCTGCCATTAAATTATTTTGATTTGTTTGAAAAGGTCAAATAATCCAACAATTCTTCTAGAATTTCTAGTTATAGAAATACCTGTCAGTTCCTAAGGAACTGGTTGTTCCCTTTTGTATTGTTGTGCCTGTTGTAAATATTAACATACCTTTACATCTATGTTACTTGGTCTGTATCTGGTACTTCAATAAGTTTGACTATTTTGTCATTTATTTCAGATTCCAGTATTCCAGTGTATCACACAGCACATGGCCTGTACACAGACCACAGCTTTAAGGTAAATTAACAGTTTGCAGTCTTGTCTCTTGGAAATTCCTCTATGTAAACACTTCCTTGAGCCCACTTCTGCGAATTAACGTTGCTTTTGTTTGCATTACAGAGTCTGACAGTTCCAGTTTTCACCACAATTAAAGGGGTAAGTCAATTCCTGTAGTATGGACAAAAGTACAAATTGAATAGGACTGTCCACTGCTTTGGTACATGTATGTTAAATGAATACCAGTAACATCTGTGGGACAGAATTATTAAATGTTTGTGCATTACTGCACAAATTAGTAATATGGCCTTTTGCCTTGCCATTGTCAATTCATTGCCTCCTGCAACCTGGAGCAGGCTTCTATTGAAGTACGAATCAATTTTGGAAATTGAATGTGTCAGAGGATGCTTTTGACTACAAAGAAGGCATTCATTTCTCAGTATAAAGAGGAAAGACAATGGTGGCATAGAATTATTGTAATCTCTTCATTACTGATACCCATGACCTGCATGTGATTCAACTGAAATCTGATTATGTCCTTTTCATCTCCTTCCATATGCAGAAAGCCTCTCAGATCAGAAACACGCCGTTCACCGATGAGTCCACGGATTCCTCGGAGGAGGAGGGTGGGGTGACACCGACGTCGTCCCATGTCCCTGGGTCGGACCCTACAGGAGCGTCCCCGGCCGGCCCGGGGTCTCCTGCCTCCCTGGCACTGAGGAAACAGGGCAGTCCCAGCAGCTCAGGCGCAGTCAAGAGAGGTGGGGGATGTTCCTACACGTATCCTCACCTAATCATGTCTATTGCTGCATATGAAACTATGTAATAATACCTATATGTGCTAATATACATGTAGTACATCCACATGGTTAATATGTTAATCTTCATTATTAAAGTGGAAACATTGTTTTGTTCTGCATATCACTTGTGTAAGCCAGAAGTTCATATTGTGCAAACAGTGCAATACAAATTTACTTTAGATTTTTTTCATTCATTACCCTTAGGAAAAATGATTGCTGATGTCAGGTATTTTTACATCAGCAGATGTACAGATATTTTGTAAACTGCATGTGATGTCAATTTCCCCGCAGCTGTCTCCATGCAGTCCACGAGCTCCGACGACTACGCCATCCCTCCAGATGCCATGTCCACCGACAGCGACCATTCAGAACCAGAGAACAAGCTGCTGAAGACGTGTGCTGCTTACACCACCGAAAACATGAGAAGGGTGAGAACAGGCACTGCAAAACATGGCCACTAGCTAGACATGCCTGCTGCTTTTTGCAGTCGAGAAAAAGATACTGTTGCAACTGCCCAATATTGATGACTTTGGTATCAAAAGCAAGAACAGTTTGTGTTGCATTGACTTTATCCAAGTTGCAGCAACAGAGTGTTGCTTCATACCATTGAACTATGCACACTGGAGGCAGGGTGTAGCACATATGGCAGCACATATGTTGCTGACAATGTCTAGTGATCACATATTGTAATAGCTTATTTGGATACTCAAGTTCTATATACCACATACTAGTAGTCTACGTGTACATGTATTTACAACTAAAATATCTGCACATTGTGTCATCAGTGCACATCAATAGTACACAGGAAAACTAGCCAGAAGGAATCTTGACATTGAGAGACAGGTTCAGGTAATCTCCAAGCAGATCTTTTGGTGGGGGTAAGACAGTATCAAATTGGCCAGTCTGTAACCATTTCCCCACCCAAGAAATGGTTACAGACTGGCCAATTTGATACTGTCTTACCCCCACCAAAAGATCTGCTTGGAGATTAAGGTTCAGGTTGAGGCTGATGTTCATATGTCCTTAGGAAACCTTGGAGAAGTGTGGCTACCTGACCAAACTGGGAGGCAGGTTGAAGTGCTGGAAGAGGAGATGGTTTGTGCTGAGGAATGGGGAGCTCTGCTACTACAAGTCACCTGTAAGTACACACCACAACAAGATGCTAGTGGGCATGTCTAGGGCACTTGCAGATAACCTGAAAAGAGAGAATGAAACTGAAAGCAATAAAACCCAAAGCAAATGGAAGTCATCATAATGGATGTGATTGAAGTGTAAACCTCTGCATTATATTTGACTGTTTTGTCTTGTTGATGAATGAGTGAATCCATCATTTTATGTTGTGAACTTATGCATTCATGTTCTGAGTGATAGAAGTTACAGTTTAGAATTTGTTTTACGAGAACAAGTACGTTACAGACTGTATATAACCATGGAGCTAAATATAACCACCTTGATTAGATTAGAATTTGAGTTAATTGTGCTGTTGTTGCTTGCATGGCAAATAAACTTTGCCTAATGCTTACTTTGCTGTCAAATACTTTGAAGTGACTGACTGATTAACAGTTCAAGCCATTTTTTTTTGCATTTAAAATCTTAGGGGAATCATTGTCTTATATGGGACATTCTAAAGAACTACGTGTAGTTAATCCTGTCTTTATCATAAAACAAGTTTAGAGAGGTCTTATGTGGACTTGTTTGGTTATCTTTGTCATTATAAAAAATACTCACTTATTTACTGTACAGGAACCATGGACACACAAGCTTAAATTCCTGCACAGGTCTAGACAAGTATGTTAGATGGTTGTTCACAATTGCGAGACTGTGGCACATTTTTTCAAGGGTTGAAGGTATAGATCTGGTAACACTGCGCTTCTTGTAGGGATGGTGTCAATGATAGCAAATGATAATCAGAACCCAAGGTCAAAGTCATGTGCTACCATAATTTTTGTTACATTGCTTACCCCAGTCTGGGTTACTAAACACCTTTAAAAATCAACAAAGAGCCTGTACTGTTGACACCATCCCTATACATGCTTTGCTATAAGGCAGGTTTTGCTGTGCAGTAAGGTGAAATGGCTGGTGCTGTCGCTCCACAGTGTAGTTGCATCAGAGGATTAACACGCTGCAGTTAAGCCTAACTTCACTACACTGTAAGGTGCTGATGTGGTGTGGGTCACACAGTTAGGGAGAAGGTTGATAACAGAGTTAGGCAGGATTGTGGTGGTCACTGCTATCATGCCTTCCCCAGAGTGATGTGCATCGGAAGCCTCAGGGAAGGATAGAGCTGGACGGACTGTGCAAGATTGCGAGAACAGAAGGGAACTGCACTTTTGAGGTACATGAAAGAGTAATCTTTGCTGTATTCCTTTTTTCCCGTTTTTCACCTTTTGGAGGCTTTTGAGGTTTGACATGAGTTAATGATATTTGTTGTGTTTCCAGATTGTGACGGAAAAGAAGACGTACTACCTCACAGCTGACTCCACCTCTGCTATGGAGGAGTGGATCAGAGGTAAGCCAATGTCTGTTTCAGGGGAAAGGTTACCCTCCACTTCAGATACCTACAATCCATGGTGTACATTATGTTGGTTCATACTTAAGATGACTTTATATTTTCTCCAGTGCTGCAGAATGTTTTGAGAAGATACGCGACCAGCCCACTGTTCGAGCAGGCCCAGGGCAGGCCTGTCATCAAGGGATGGGTCACCAAGGTACGAATTTTACCTTTATATACATGTACATAGTAAATGTAATTTTTTTTTGTACAATTCACGTAACAGAGACACCGTGTTTCTCTTTTGACCAAAGCCATAACCCCCATCATAAAAAGGGAAATGTACCCACAGAGGGATGCAAAACTATTTCATATGTGAATTTTGAAACCCCAAGAGTACAAGAGTGGCAATCACATCTCAGCATTTATTAAGTGACCCTCATGTCCACTCAGCAGCAGTGGCAGAACAAGTGGTAAAAGTACACTTGCAGGAAATCATGTTTCAGCCAGGAAAGTTTAACTCGCTGAGGCTAACTGACATGTTTTGATTGGTGGACAGGTGAAGCACGGGCACTCCAAACGGTGCTGGTGCGTGCTGAAGGGGCGTATGCTGTGCTACTTTAAACACCAGGAGGACAAGGTAGAGAAGGTTGTTCTGACTTTTCAGGCTATGGCCTTGTTTTATTGGGATCAATAGAAGCGTTGGTTGGATAACACTGATTAAAGGCTTTGTTATGCTGACTGTGGTTTTGGCACATTTGCTGACATCAATGTGTATGGCATAGTGGTGTAGTTAGGCAAACTGTAACAATATGCACAGTTAGGCACAAAGTGTACATCATAGTCAGTGTAGTTGAGTTAGGCATTAGTTGAACCACCACCCCTATTATTCAGGTGCAACTTTCAAATTGGTATTAACTTTCAAATTGGTAATCAGAAAGAAATTGTGATGAGTGGAAAACACCAATGCAAATTTTCTACCACGGTAAGAGCAATATTATTTAGGAAATAATAAAGTGTACATTTTTGAGCACAATCAGCTAACTGAGAAGCAGATCGCCAACCTTGCTTGCGACAAGGGGCAGTGGAGGGATCTTGCATTAGCCTGCGCAGCAGCCGACCGATGATGATGACATTTTTGTAACATCCAAGAACTTGATATATCAGAGCAAATAAATGTTTAAAATGATATCATAAGTTTGACATCACATGTTCTCTCCACAATGTTCATCAGTTTGTCTTCAATTCCCAGGTTCCTCTTGGTGTGATAAACATGCGAGATGCCAGAGTAGAGGAAATCGACAGATCGTTTGACTCGGATGAGGAATATGAGACCATGGAGAAGGGAGGATCGACCACACACCACACTGTCTGCATCACTGCCAAGGACCAGGGCCCAACCTACCTACTCATCAACAACAAACAGGAGAAGGTGGGTTATATGTGTGCTGTAGACACGTGGAACTTAAACTGACTATACAGTTTTTGTTTGTTGGAATTAAATAGTACTAACGCTTGTCCCATGTTCCTAGGATGGCTGGTTATACCACCTGACTGTGGCTGCAGGCAGCGGGATGGGAAACATTGGCACAGAGTACGAGCAACTTATCGGCAGACTCATGGACGTGGATGGGGACCCAGGTAAACTGTGGTGCATTATACTGTGTGCCAACCTGGTGTTTTTTTAGATCCATCCAGTCCATGATTTGATTGGATGTAGAAAACACTAAAAAGTGCATAATAAACGTGGCGGACAGCAACAGATAAAAGAAAGTAGAAGACATTAATGCCTCGGTGCCAAGCACTGACATGGTGCGAGGTTGATGAAGACGAAAAGGCTGGCACCCAGGGTAAAATGCAAAAAGCATGTATAAGTAATGAATCATTATCTGATATGTAGGTGTAGTGTGGTTGTAGCACCAGTGGAGATGACTTAATTTTCTCACTCCCAGTGAATAATGATAGTGAGGCCATTTGTTTCTCAAGCATCCTATCATCTCGGTACCTGTATTCACATACATTGTAAGACTGTTACATGAAGAAATTTAATGTGTGTGTTTTGGACCTGCTTGTCCCACTAGTGCTAATCTCGACACCATATAATTGTTGTGAAATCTGAGGAAACATGTTACACAAACAAACAACCCCAAACAAGGTTTATTTTGTGTTATTCATGTAAACAGAGTTTGCCCCAGATACCCCTTCATGTTTTGAAAATCCCATTACAGCCACTGTAAACACAAGTACAAGGAACTAAATGTGTGTCGGAAGCTCGGTTTCTCTGGCTGTAGTTGTGATTATATATCCTCCAGTGTGGGTGTTCAGAACTACCGTGGTACTCTGTTACATTTGTTGCTATATCTTACAGAAAGTTTAATTAACAAGTTAAGGTTTGTTTTTGCTGTATTTTGTCTTTCTAGTTGTACATGAAAGACCCTTCATCTGCACAGTAGAAGCACATGCAGGAAATGAATCCCCAAACTCTTAAGTGGCATTGTCGTTTATCATGTTACGTAGAGCTTGTTGCTTTAAGTGTCAAAGGTATCGTAAATGTTGCTTAAGTTTCAATCATAGAAAGTACTGTTGAACAGTGTTTGTTGTATATAAGAATTTTCAGGCTTTACTCAGCTAATGGGCATCCATGTGTTCGTAGGCTTCTTTCCCCCAGATTACTCCCAATATAAGATGTGCCACATGCACAAGCCTCACTGTTTATCCTTGTTCAAGCCCTATGAAATAT